TGTAACATTGTGTCACCTGGTCTATAATCTACTAGGAAGGTAAGATCCTATTTTACAGATAGAGAAACTGAGGCTTGCAGAGGTTATGCAGTTAACGAGCAAGTCTTAGGTTCAAGCGCGACTGCCCTTAACAGCGCGGCCACTGACGGATTCTGACCTAGCATCTTTTGGGTTTTGGCTGGCTAATTTTTTCTCTCCCTGAGCCACGGTATTGATGTTACCTTGCTGTCACTAATGGGGGAGAAAAACCACCCCCAACTCTTACTTATTTGTTTCTTCTCATAATTATTTTTTTCCTCACAAAAATAATTTCCTGTGTTGATCCCGTTTTCCCCAAACAGCCTAAATGATTTAGGTATCCAGCGTGCCTCCGCGGCTGCCGCCGTCTGACAGAGGACTTGCAAAGTTGAAATCATAATGATGAGGAGCCTCTGGTGAGCACTGTCTCCCGTGGGGGCAGGAGAGCGAACAGGCTCATCATAAACACACGCCGCCGAGAATTGACATAGCGGGGAATGAATTTCTCCCTTCATTGGGTTCTGTGTTTTCCCCTTCGTTTCCCTTTTAAAACATTAGAGCATATCAGATGAGCATTCCCTCCCTCAAGGACTGCTGAAATTGACATCTTGTGGTTTTTCATTCCTTTGGGTTGGTTGTTTAATTTTTATTTTGGGGAGGTGGATTGGGTAGTGGTACGGATAGTTAAGAGGTAAGAGAAAGTTTTATTTTTACACTTCATGCTAAATAGTAAAAATAAATGAGGTTATGTGCTCTCTGGCCAAAGCTATCTTTTTTAGCACTTACAACACTGACCGTTTTGCTGGCTCTCAACAAATAATCATAATAGTAACCGACACACACGGTGTGCATTATTTAGATCCAGCTTTAACTCCAGCATTTTGGCTGATGCAAACTTTCCGAATCAAGCGTTTGTCAGAAGTGACAAACCTCCTTTCCCAGGGTGCAGCAGATGTTTATGGGGACGGATGGCCTCCTCTCCCTTCCCCGCCCCACCAGCTCTTGTCTGCCAGGCCAGTGTTTCCTTCACTACTTCCCTCCTTTCTCCCGAAGCATAAACATCTCCCCCCGCACCCCCAGGTAGTTTTGTTGTTTTTTTCCCCCTGCACCCAGTCTCAAATAACTCCTGTCTTTGAGAAGTCCTGGCTGGCCTGATAAGACAAGGGTGGTCTCCAGAGACTTCTCTTAAAAAGATTCAGCTTGTGCATTTATGTTTCTCAAAAGCCCTTGCACATGTTAAAAGTTTCCCTGTGCAAACATATGTCAGAGAGTGTTTTCTTAGGCTTCAAGACTGTGTTTCTTGGCCGGAGAGAAGGTGTAGTCTACATACTTTATAATCTGAAATCCGAGATAATCGTTGCATGATCAATAGCTTGTTGGTTTAGTTCAGCCACATCTTCAATATTGTCAACTTCAATTAAATTCGTAGTGCAGCTCTATGCCATTTCCCCTGGGCTCCCCGATCTGTCCTACGTACCCTGTTCTTAGAGCAGGCAGTATGGTCAGTCCTGCCCTGGCAAGAAGTTTAAGGGCAACCCAAGTGGCCAATGAGACTGGGGAGAGCCAAGAAGTGAAGGGCAGCCTTTCCTTTGTGACCCTAGTGTCAGCTTCCAGAGAGCTGGAAAAAGAAGACCAAGTTCTGAACAGAGAGTGCAAACAAAAAACGTGCATTTTCTTCCTGCTTCTTCGTGACCAGTGTTAGTTCCAGATGTTTGGAGCTGGAATCCTTGGTCATATTCAGAGAGAAATAGCACAGCATAGTCTAGGATTCTTTCCATGATAAGATAGAGACTCACATGTGCTTCTGTTTCAAGGGCTTCGACATGAACCTTTTCTGGGAACCTTTAATTATTATATTCATCGGTCAGGAAAATGAAGAGGCATGTTCTGAGATGATCATCTGAAGGATTAAATGGTTGATTTCTTTTTATGAAAATCAGAACTGTTTGAGCGGATATTCTAAGCAATGGTGGGACTCAGTCACGGTTGCCTATGACCCTTGCTTGCATCCAAGTGTCAGTTTTGGCCTTTGATTAGTTTGTTGCTGTTTAATTAAAGGCCCATACCAGGGAAGCAGGGATGTTCAGGGCCCAGGAAACAGCAGAGGGCAATGGGGAACCAAGCTAAGCACATACCACCAGGGCTGGCGTTGGACAGAACTGAGGCCACCAAAGGTAGGAAAGGAGGAGGGGGAGAGGGGCTAGAGAGAAATTGTAAAGTGCCACAAAAAACGATTGCGTTGGGTAACGTTCAATATACTAATTATCCTGATTTGAGCATCAGGTATTGCACACAGGGATTGATATTCCACACTGTATCCCACAGATATGCGTACAATCAATTATGTTTCAATACAAATAAATAAAAGTCAAAGCCTCAGTATGAAGTAGTCTAGAGAGAGAGAGAAGCTGATAATTGAGAAAAGACTTTGTGCATTAAAGCCAGGCAGACTCAGCCAAAATAGCAACGTCAGCCCAACATTATGAAGAGAGTCCAGGAAGGAATGAACGAACACCTTTTAACGACTGAAAACTGGCAGCTTCTTTTCCTGATTGGATGATTCATTGAAAAAATCACTTTAGTTTCCAGTCATTTTCGAAGCTGAGGCAGGGGTGCAGTATGTGAATGGAGGTGATAGAACAGCGGTGTTGACATCAGGAGGTGGAGCCTGCTGGATTTTTGGTGGTCTCCTCTTTGCTGTGATATCTCCTGAATAAGGTGCCCTGCACGATGTGGATCTGTGTTCATGGTGTTCATTGCATTGAATGAATGAAGGGAAACACTCTGCCACTCTGTTGTTTCTGTGTAGGAGTTTGTCATCGACACGCCCTGTGAAAATGCCCAGAAGATGTACATTGGGAACGCGATGCATGGGAATTACACGGCGGTCATCATCCAGCTCATCATAAATGGAAGATCTCAAGGTTTGTCATCGACACAGAAAACCAGAATAATTCTCTTTACTATTACTGTTATCCAGTGAGTGCCTTACCCTGAAAACGCATTTCATTGGACTGTTTATATCTTGTAAAAAATTCAGTACTATATTTTCTAAATATACATGATGATAACATTTATCATTATATTTTGAGATACACTATTATGGACAGCACACAGTCATTGAACCAAATGAATTTTGGGATCAAAATAATTTTATACTGTTCAGGAATAAATGAGTAGAGCTTTATTTCTACATTAGAAAGGAAAGTTTAGGGCCGACCCCGTGGTGCGCTCGGGACAGTGCAGCGCTGGGAGCGCAGTAGCGCTCCCGCCGCAGGTTCGGATCCTATATAGGGATGACCGGTGCACTCACAGGCTGAGCGCGGTGCGACTGGTCACACACACACAAAAAAAGACAAAAAAAAAGAAAGGAGAGTTTAATAACTATCTCTGTGCCTTCCTCAGGACCCCACTGTTTCATTGTTCCTGTCCGGGATGAAAACGGAAGCTTGTACCCGGGAGTGACAGCTATTGATATGATATACAAAGAAGGTGGGTCCCCAGGGGACCCCTCTCCTGTGCTCATTCACACCTCCTGTCTGCTCCCCACCCACCCACCTAAGCAGAATCTAACCTAACTTACCTCACTGAAGGCAGTGAAAGCAAATACAATGATTCCCAAAGAAGACTCCTTGTTTTTGAAGCCTAATTAAGAGTCTTTATGTAGAACTGTTCAAGAACCATTTACAAATGTGCACTAATCTCATTTTCTCCCAGCTTCTCTCATTTCCTAGTAATACAGCTTTGCCCTGGGTGCTCTTCCGTCTCCTCTCCCTTCTTGGACCTGCGGGCTCTCAGGTGCAGGCTGCAGCTGTCTTTACTGCATCTCAGTCACCAGCCTAGTGTTTGTGCTCACGAGGCCCTGGATGACTCAGTGTGTTAGTTTGCTAGGGCTGCTGCACCACTAACTGGGTGGCTTAAACAACAGACATTTATTGTCTCACTGTTCTGGAGACCAGAGGCCCGAGATCAAGGTGTCAGCCAGCAGGGTTGCTTCCTTCCAAGGGTGGTGAAGGAAGGCTCTGTTCCAGGACTCTCTCCTCGGCTTGTAAATAACCGTTTTCATGCTAATACGGAGCTCTCCCCATGTGCCTGTCTGTCTCCAACTTTCCCCTTCTTGTAAGGACACCAGTCATTTAGATTAGGGCCCAGCTTAATGTCCTCATTTTAACCTGATTACCTCTGTAAAGACTCTGTCTCCAAATAAGGTCATATTCACAGGTATGGGGGTTTGGACTTCAACATATGAATTTGTTGGGCGCACAGTTTGACCCATAACCCTTGGTGAGAACAGACCGTGCCTGTGGCCTTCATTGGCTGTCCTTGGCCAAGGTCAAGCCAAGTCAAAGAAAGAAGTCTGGAGAGAAGGAAAAGAGAAGAAAGAATGGGGAGAGAAGAGGGAACCAGGGATCCTTTGGTGGAGGTGGACCCACCATCAGGGTAGGGGACCATCCCTGCCCCTTAATGTTTACTGACCACTGCCCTGCCTGCAGGCATGGGCTGCAGCAGGTGGGTTTTCAAGGGTTTTAAATGTATCTGAGACCTTGGCTGGCCCTGGCCCCTTGCAAGCTCCTTGCATGTTAATTGTGGCAGAGAGCAGACAGGGAGGCCAGGCTCTTGTGAAGTCGTGCCAGATGATGGAAACACTGGCAGCAAACTGCAGAAAGTCTGCTTTGGTTTTCTTGTAAGCTATCAAATGCAAGTATGTCCTTGTCAGGGGGTGATGTTCTAAATAAAGGCATTTACTAAAGAAAGATCCTCCCCCACCCAGATTTGTAAATTGAAAATAGATCCCAGATTCGTTTTAAATGTATCTGAGACCTTGGCTGGCCCTGGCCCCTTGCAAGCTCCTTGCGTGTTAAGTGTGGCAGAGAGCAGACAGGGAGGCCAGGCTCTTGTGAAGTCGTGCCAGATGCTGGAAACACTGGCAGCAAACTGCAGAAAGTCTGCTTTGGTTTTCTTGTAAGCTATTAAATGCAAGTATGTCCTTGTCAGGGGGTGATGTTCTAAATAAAGGCATTTACTAAAGAAAGATCCTCCCCCACCCAGATTTCTGAATAAAAAATAGATCCCAGATTCTGACAGGTGTCTTTAGGAAATGGGTCTGGCAGATTTTGGAGACCCCCCGATTCTCGTGGCCATTTTCCCTTGTCTTGGGGCATTTACTCTCACCAGTTCACCCTGTGTGCTGAGGGAGTGGGGGGGGGAGGGGCTTCACATTCCTGGGGAGAGCAAGTTGGGTTTCCTGCCTTCTCTGTCTTCAGCTTTCCATTCTTTTGGTTGCTTAGAACTTTCCCTTTCTTAATCGTGGTCAGTGCCCAGGAGGTGGGTGCATCCCCACCCCATCCCCAACCTGAGCCGCAGAGCATGAGGGCTACTACACAGGTTCTCCATCTGGTCAGGGAGAGGTGGGCCAAAGAAAGAGGCACAGCTCATCAAGAAAACAAACATCCCCACCCCCACCCCACCCCAAATAAAAAAAGCATCAACACTTCTAGAAGTAAATGAAAGCGTTTGCACTTTAATGGAGAGAGGCCTGGGAAGTAGCAGGGACAACATTTCTGATGCTGCCTGGATCTCCCCTTGCAGCTGCGAATCATTTCTGTTCTCTGCAGGTCTGCACGGTGTGGATAATGGGATTCTGATATTTGACAAGGTTCGCATACCGAGGGAGAAGCTGCTGGATAAGTGAGTAGTTTTTCCTTAACTTAGGTCGACTGTGCTGATAATCTCATTGCCCTCCCATGCTGGCCTGGTCCACGCAGTCTTCCCCTAACCAGCCTGACAAGTTTATTGACAACTAACTGGAAAACAAAGATAAGTGAAAAGAAAAAAATCAAAATGATCAAAAATGCTGTTGCCCAGACATGATGATTGTCGCACTCAATGTACGTCTCTCCACACTTTTCTCCATGCTGATAATCTAAAGAGATACACCTGATTTTCACCAAATGAGGTCCACTTATAGACTGTAAAATAAACGGTCTACAAGTTATGTAATCAGTCTCTT